CCCCCACCGCACGCACGCACCCCCCCCCTCTCTCTCTCTCTCTCTCTCTCTCTCTCTCTCTCTCTCTCTCTCCTGCTCACTCTTCGAACCGGGAGCCCCAGTCCGGGGAGCAGGCAGAGACCAGAATCAGCTGTTCCTCCACCCTGCTCCTGTTCACTGGGAGCAAAGTTGAAAGAATAACAAGGAGCAAACCTCCTGCCCCCCAGCCTGGGACCGGTCTGGGAGCAGGTTGAGAGGCTTTGCCCTGCTGCTTCAGTCATATCCCAGAACAGATCAGAGGAGAGCATACAGGCGTTCATTGTTGTGAGAGTTTCTCTCACAGGCGAGGTCTTACAGGTTGACACCTGGAAGACCTTTCTTTTGGAGGAGGCATGTTTCCCTCAGAGAAATTGAATGAACTTTTGTATGCTCATAATTTCTACTGGGAGAGCAGCAAATCTCCCAACAGAAACATAATGCCTGTGTGTGTTCATAGTTTTACTTTGAGTCATAGCTGCAGCCTGTAGGTTATTGTATCTTTTGCACCACTGTGATGCTGAAACAAGTACTTTTGTATTTTCACTTAGACCTGAACACTTTGGGTTAAATGATGTTTGTACACAAATGCATCTTTTATAAACTTGCAGTGTAGGATCATACTTATTTGTCAGTAGCTCCTGGAGCAACATTAAGCCTGTTGTCCCTTTTATGCAATTTTTTAATTCTGTTTTCTTAAGTTACCAGTTTTCATGTCAGTTTCATGCTTTTTTTTCAAATGCCTTGATGCTACCGCTATTCAGCCCTGTAATGCCAATGCTTAAAGTGTTTGGGATAACTTTGATTGCAATGCTGCCATGTTAGGATGAAGCCCTTGTCTGTGGCACCACATATGGCAAGGGCGTGTTGATGATCCTGTAGTCAGAATGGCTGTCCATTCAGAAAGCTTCTCTCCTACGAAAACTGCTTCTCATATTATCCATTTTCATTATAGGTATTATAGTAATGGCTAGAAGCCCCAACTGTGATTAAGGGTCCCATTACATTAGGTTGGACATCAAGGTAGTAAAAAGAGAGTGCCTGCCTGTTCAGAAAAGCTCACAATCCAAATACACAAAGCATAGAGGGAGTGGAAGGTGGAAAGTATGGCCACATTTTACAGATGCGTAACTGAGGTGCAGAGAGATTTAAGTGACTTGCCAGAGATAATATAGTGTGTAGCAAAACAAGGAATAGAATTCAGGCCTCCCAAGTTCCCAGTCTAGTGCTGAACCACAAAACCATAGGGATGCTCTAAAAGGCCACATAAACACAAGCATGGATGTTTGGTTCCCCGGGGACAACTATCAGCAGGACACCTTGTGCTGCTGCAAGTTGTCCCTGGGAACACTTGTGCCATGCGCCCTCTGGGTTACCCCGGGGTATGGTAGGGAAGGCTGGGGCCAGCAGCTGTGCTGGCCCTAGCAACCTTACCTGGGGTCCCAGGGGCCTCCTGGGGCTGCAGCAGCGGTGATCCTGCCGCTCGGAGCCTGGCTGACAGCCGGAGCGTGGCTGCCCTGTGTACACCGCTCTCTTTGTTTGGGGGGATTTTGTGCAGTTTGGTTTTTTTTGACCCCTGGATATCCAGGGGTCAAAATAAAAACCTCGGGCTGCTCCCTTGCAGTGTGGAGAACACCTGCATGTGCAGTATGCGGCACCGCAGGCATGTCTGTAGCACCACATACCGCATAGCTGCGCTTGTCTGGATGTGGCAAAATTCCTGAAATATGAGGTAGTGAAAAGCAATTCTTCATTCTGGTATTTATAAACAATATTTGCAAGGTAAAAATCAAAGGGAAAAATTAGTACAAAGTAGGAATGGGATATGCCAACAACCCGTTATTAACACTGTCTGAGAAAATGGTGATTTTGGACTCGGAAATGCTTGTTTCAGAGAACATTAGCCTTAGTGAGACATATATGATCAGTCCTTAGAATCATGACCTGACTTCTATTTCAAGATTCCTCACGCCACTGGAGAAAAATGGGACAAAACATGTCTTCCTCTTTGGTTTCAGTGTTTTTACGTACTTAAGCCCATTTGTTCTCTTGAGCTTTTCTCTATAGGTGCAGTCAATGCCAGTAAGTTTATTGTTGGTGAAGGGGATAAGGAGCTCCCTACTAACGCCTCCTAAAATTTTCTCCTGTGTAAAGGATTCTTGGGTCCATTTTGTCTAAGAGGTTCTTACCTCCACTTTTGCAGCAGTTCTTTGATATGTATCAGGAAGAAAACGTGTGTGCTAGCAAAGCGTCTTTTTCTGTTTCCCATGAAATGATGCCTAGCTTTGGTTAAGAAGGAACCATTCAAAATAACTATTTTCTTCCTCTTTCTTGCAGACATCAGGCATTTTTTGTCAATAGGCCAGAATAATAACCGAACTCAAAAATATTCCAAAGTTGGGTTTGTGCTACCTAGCATAGTGCCTGCTTTATTGGTGAAACTGCCTGGTAACAACTGTGGCAGCTCTAGTGATGGGGGATGAGCGTAGAGAATTGACACAGGATGGTTTCAGGACATGGTCCCAATGTTTCCCTTTTCCAGCTTCCTGGGGAGGAATGGGACATCTCAATTTTTGTGGGGGTGGGAATATATAATACACACACACACACCCCTTCTATCATGAAATTGCCATCACACACCTCAAACCGTATTAAGAAACCTACCCACCTGTTACAAAAAACTTACCCGCTCCCATGTGCCCTCGTGCACCCACCCGCTGCCCTTCCCTAACCCAATCACAGTTCCTTAGTCCAAGCCCCAGTTGGGATTTATAGTCTCAGTTCATTCACAATCCTTGTCGATGTCATTGTTACTTCTGCTGCTGCTGCTGATCCTGTTGTTGTCCTTCTCACTGTCTCCAGGTCCAGTTGCATCATGCCCTCCCCATTTTCCTTTTCCACTTCCCCTCCCCGGTGGTCTTTGAACAGCCTGTGCCACATGTCCCTTTTCCAGGTGGAGTTGGCTGCGTTTTCTCCATCCTCACACACCAATTTCCAGCAGTAGGACTGGAGGTCAAATGGACTTAGAGGTCGCTTAGCTCACAAAAGTTTGCTGGGCTCTGTTGTACAGCCTCCCAACTCCAGAAGCTCATCCCACTTTCTTAGGGTAACCTACAGGGGACAAGAACTTCCACTACTCCCAGGAGGGGAAAGCAGAAGGGGAGGAAAAATGAAGATGGGGAGAAAAAGGTTTCACTCCAATCCTGAGAGAGCATCCTTCTGCAGCTGCCAGCAAATCCAGTTCTTCGAGTGGTTGAAAACATAGTAGTCTGTGCAGCAGTGCTGAAGATTCAGGGTTCACCTTGATGATGATGCAGCAAGGGGGTTGTTAAAATGCCCAGAACTTTTGTTTTCATATTTCTCTTCTAAGAAATTACATTAGAAAGTCAAAACACAGACAATGACAGATTGACAGTTGTGCATGCAACCTGATTTGTTTCCTTCTGCATTACGATAAAGGCTTCAATTATTTGGTCATATACTATGTTTTCCATAGGACACCTGGCTCATTCCATGTACAAAGAGACAGAACTAAAGTTACCCAGGCAGTTTTCTAACTTTTGAGTGCTTGCCTTTGTTGCTCACATAATAAAATTAATGTCTTTTATGAAATTTAATTACATTATCCACATCACACATGGCATTTTATAAGAATATCTATAAAAGACTTCAGAAAAATGTTTAAAAGAATATATATGTGATGTCCCCCTGCTTCTGCATATTCAAGATTCTGGTCAGATTTAGTTACAGTATTTTATTCTTCTATCGACTGTATTTATCATAAACGTATAGATGCTTATACACTGGTCAGATTTTATGTTAATTAAATTAAGCATGAAAGGTTTTAATCTAAAGAATTAGTTGTACTTGTTAAGAAAGGGTGCAAAAATGCTATTGATTTTTTTTCTGTTCTTATTCCAGGACCTTTTAAGATGCAGAGTTTTGACATCAGGGATTTTTGAAACAAGATTTCAAGTAGATAAAGTAAATTTTCAGTAAGTGCATTAGTAATAATTTATGATTACCAAATCACACTAGTTCTGGAACATCTGATTCGGATGTTTCACCTCATCCTTTATATTGTAGGCATGGTATTTCTTACAGCTTTTGTCCTCATAGGACATAATATAACTGTCTTTTACTCAGAGAGGGCAGAAATTGATAGAAGCATCTACTGATGTTTCGGGGTTGAGCTGTTATTTCTTATTAATTCACTGTTAATGTTTACTTCCTTTCTCTGGGCAACAGCCTGCAGACTCCAGGAATAATATTTACATGAGTAAGCATTTGTATAGTTGGGCCCAAAGAATTAAACATGCTCCTTCCTCTGGAGAGCCATGGTCTCTGGAGTTTGAGTGTTTATGTTGCATTTCAGTGGTTTTCAACCTTTTTTCATTGCAGACCCCTAGAAAAATTTGAGTGGAGGTGCAGCCCCCTTGAAATTGTAAATGTGGGTATTCACAAAATTTATTTTGATTGATCATAGTCATTTTTTCGCAGACCTCTTAGACACAGTCTGCGGACCCTCAAGGGTCCGTGACCACAGGTTGAAAACCACTGTTGTATCTCCATTAAAGTGTATATAGTTTTCTACATACTCCTCATTGGGCTTATAGTTTATATAATATAAAATAATATTATTTTAGAACAAATAAGTGTGTCAGCATGGATTGGGCAAGAATTTAACCTGGATGCTTCCATTTACTGGACAGGTACCACTAAATTTTGTAATCTGAAAGCCATGTCTGTTGAATTGTGGTATATCTAAGCACATTGTCAGGCTTTCTATTTAAACCCAACCACAAGTTGTTCTAAAGGCTTAAAAATCTACCATCTTCTTAAAAAGTTTCGTTTTCTTTTGGAATTCAGTACAATGTGCTGTGCAAGACAGAGCAGATTGAATTTTACATCTTGATCACACTGAACACGGTTTCAGGAACCCCCTTTCCCTTCAGGGAACATTTTATTGCTGATATTCTCCTTGAAGCTGTCACACTTTTTAAATTGCATGCTTCATGTGACTTTCCCAGTGCACCCAAGTGATATAACATCCTATGGCTTTTTAACAGCATGTTTGATGTAGGTGGCCAGAGAGATGAAAGAAGAAAATGGATTCAGTGTTTTAATGGTGAGTAATTTCTCAGTTCTACACCACATTTTTAATCTGTATTTATTTTCTGCTACGAGTTTTTTAATTTTCTTCTTATTTTTCACTTACACTGAACTTAAACAAATCGGTCCCATTAAAATGTAAGTGCTTTTAATTACTTTATCAGTTTGGTGCTCCTTCTTCACTTTTACATTTCTTTATTGAAATGATGTTTAAAATAAAAACCTCATTTACATGAACAGATTAAAATGGCATGTGTTTTAATAGCAAAACCCAGTATCAAAAATATTTCTTCAGATCTGTGTTATAATATATATTGTGGAGAAGTCTGGGGAGCCATTGTGTGGTTGTGTTGAAGTATTACCCTGCTGAGCTTGTTTGGGGTAACTAAAACATTTTGCGGTCTCTCTTTTTTTTGTGTGTCCCCCAAGATGTCACGGCTATCATTTTTGTTGTGGCCTGTAGCAGCTACAACATGGTAATAAGGGAAGATAATAACACAAATAGACTACGGGAATCTCTGGACCTCTTCAAAAGTATCTGGAATAATAGGTAATTATTAAACCTCTTGGAAATGGTTATCTTAATTTAGTCACTAGGAAAATTGGTAGTTAGTACTTCATTTTTCTAAGCATTCTTCAAACTTAAATCAGTTAAACAGTAAGATAAATTAAAAGCAAATATATGCATATATATATATGTGTATATATATGCATATGTATATATATATGTGTATGTGTGTGTGTGTGTGTGTGTGTATATATATATATTTCAGTAGCTCTCTAGTACAGTTACATATATTGAAATTAAACTACCTTTCCTTACCATATTAATGTTTGACAGATAAATATTTAAAATAAAACTGCCAGTGTACAGGTACACAATGGAATACAGTGATACCTTGCTTATGAATAGGCCCCATTGCCAAGTACTTAGATTTGTTGTTTAGCAGTACTGTTACCATATTTGTAAGTGATAAACTTGCTAACCAGATAACAGTTTGAATAGAGACCTAATGCAGAATAAGGGAAGCATTGTCAAAATGATGTGCAGTGTAAGATAATGAAAATTAGAAGGAAATGTCCATCATTATGCTGTACAACATGCAGTGATTTCCAGATGCAATAAGGAAGGATTTTAAGCGCAAATACCTGTGGTTCAGTATCTCAAAAATAGCCTGGGACATTATTAGCACAAACGTAGGTTATTTTCCTCTGATTCGTTAGGCATCATACTCACTTGCCTCAGGCCACTGTAAGACATAGGATACTAGTTTATGTTTGAACTATTAGTCATTTCAAATACAGCTGTTAGAAAAAATGTACAGAAAGAGTAAGTGATTTCCAATATTTCTCCATTGCTTTACAAGAACTACACACATACTCACCTATTAGAAAACTCTAGTATTTATCGTCTGAGTATAATGCATTTAGAAAGTGTTAGCAATTTTATGCCTCACGTAAATGTTTCCTATCTTGACATCAGTGAGTTAATCAAGAAAACCTTTTTAGCTTGTTTCCTTCATCAGTGTCTAACATATATTTTTAAAAGTTTATTAATCTGTACAGGTGTGAGTTCAAAATAACTGAAATATTAGTTTAATTCACTTATTTTTCTTTTAAGATTGATTAAATAGACTGCACACAAAATCAGCAGCTACAGAGATTTCTGTTGATGTGAAATGCTTGTCTGATAAATGCACTGCAAATAGTACCAACATCTGATTTGTTTTTGACAGGTGGCTACGGACCATTTCTATCATTTTGTTCTTGAACAAACAGGACATGTTGGCTGAAAAAGTCTTGGCAGGGAAATCTAAAATTGAAGATTACTTTCCTGAATATGTGAATTACACTGTACCTGAGGATGGTAAGCTTTTTTAGCTGCTGGAATTTAAGAAGCAGGTATAATCCTTGTTTTCAACAAATGCCACAGAGCTCTCAGATTCTTGAACTAACTAGTGGTGCACCACTGTGAAGAGATATGCCACATGCCCCAGTACACACCAAAGAGAAACTTACCTTCAGGAAGGCCTTTTCTTTTCTCTGAGTAATAAACTCTGATGAACAGATGCTGCTCCAGTGGTATGTAAAACAACAACAGCTGGACAAGGTACCTGATACAGGTATAGTAAAACATCCTTGCTCTGCCTTCAAGCAAGTCCCAGTGTTGGCAGGCAGTAGGAGAAGCTGCTTATGGGAGCGAACCCATAGCAAGCATGCGATTCTGGGCTGCACTTTACACTGTATTCAGCAATAAGGGAGCCAAAGATGGTGTAAAGGCACCTATGCATACTCTCTCTTCTCATCCTCACCTCTCCTCCAGATCACACATTCCCCTGTGCTCTTCTTCTGTTTTGGCAAAGCTTTCTGTGCTATTCATGGAAGTGAAGCACAGAATCAGATGCTTGCTTTCCTTAAGATCTACTCTTTGAACAAATATTAAGATAATATTCACTGACTGTAGATCCGGCCTTCCTAGCCACGTAAGAGCAGATTTGTTATTTGATGCATTCATAAATGTGAACCCAGGCATCTTTGTCTAATAAACACCTGGAAAAACTGAGCAGAGGAGAAAAGTGTTAATAACTACATAAATTGTGAAATCTTAATGCCAGATAAAAAGGCAAAAAAATATTTTTATATTATATTTTAAAGATATAATATTTTGTGCTTTAACTGGCAAAGCTATGAACAGAACTCAAAGTGACAGAATGTATAACTGCTGAGTTGCTGTTTTCTCTTTTCAGTTGTGTTCCTATACAAAATCCACAAGTTTGTTCCAATAATCTAAGTATTTTACAGTGAAACCTTTTTCTGGTTTCTGCTGGGTTACTGAAGGATCACTGTTGTAAGAAAAATTATGTAATTTTTAAAAAGGACATTTTTCTTTTTAAAGAAAAGTGTGTGCTTTTGCATTGATTATATTATTGAGAAGCTAAACTACTACATATGTAGCAGCTTTACGGACAGGCTTGAGGGGCATTTCATAGTAAAAGAAATCTGAACAGTTTAGCCATTCTTTCTAATCACATTTTACCAGATTAAATCCTTGTATGTATGTCTATTCACGTGAATAAAATGTTGGATGTAAGAAAGAAGGTGCCAGAGCTATCAACTGTTTAATATTTGATGTGATCAATAGCACCATAAATAATTTACCACTTTATTCAGAGCTCTTAAAAGGTATGGAATATTCAGAAGTTTATTAAGATGCTGATTATACAGTGTCTTTACATTTTAAAATACCAATTGTGAGTATACAGTAGACAGTTTATGTTTTTAATTCTTACAGTAATGACTACCTTATTAAATGTTTAAAATAGCTGATTATTTATTTCATTTATCTGATATGATTTATTTTTAATATACAGCAACACCAGATGCAGGAGAAGATCCCAAAGTCACAAGAGCCAAGTTCTTTATCCGGGATGAGTTTTTAGTGAGTAATTTTAAAAACTTGCATCTTGCAGCATCACAGAAAATTCTGTCATTAAACACAATGAGTAGTACACAATGGGTTTCTAGAGGTGTGGTGGCATTTTGCCAAACAAAGGTAGCAGAGTCTTCCCAGCACTTTCCTAGATCTCCTCAACCATGCATTTCTCAGCCTTTTTCAAATGTTCAGTGTGTTTATTTCCCTGTTAAAGAATGGTAAATCTCAAACACAAAAAATCCCAGGTGCCAAGATCCATGTGGTTTATCAGTGGGAAAGCTGGAAAGAGTACTTTGGAGCCCTCCTCTTTCTTCTTGTTCCCCATTGTGCACACATATGCAGTAACACAGACTAATATTCCTGTTTCTGGTTAATGAGATTTTTTTCTGAATGTATGTATCTTTAAAAGCTTACTCCCAGTGCATAACACACATTAATACCCCTAAGCTGACTATACAACTAGTTGTGGTATCCATAGCTTATTGTCAAAGTCTGTGCCATTCTGTCACAGGGTTAGAGAAAGATCTGTGTTTTAGTCTGTCAGATACTGGACACAACAAACTGAGCTGTTTACAAAACTTAGCTGTTTGATAAGCCCCTTACTTAGCCAGTGAAATTGCCATTTTGAAAATGTAGCTTGATTTAAGTGCTGTAAGACACACAGGGGCAGAGGTTATATATGCTTATATGAATCTTGAAAAATATAATAGTGTTAAACATTCATATCATTAATACATCATTAGACAACCTCAGAGAAAGAATGCTTTCAGTGGGACAGTAAGCAAGTAAGGCTGGGATAGCACTTCTGCATTATGTTTTAAGTAGTTCTGAGGCAATTTAGAAAGAGCAACTTTCAGCTTTTTGTGAAAGAAGGATTTTGTTAAATCAATGGGCACTTTAATGCACATTAGCCTATTTTAATCCACATTAAAGTGTCACTAAAAACATGCTGTATAGTTTATGCACATTGAAATAGACTAATGTGCATTAAGCATCACTTAAAAGCCATGGGGCATTTAAACACATACATTTGTCTGCTCCAACACGCCAGAAATCCAGTGCATCAGAGCAGACCCAATTAATCGAGTCTGCAGAGCACACAAATTAATACCCCTGGTGCTGTGTTGCACGCATTTGTGTAAACAGCAAAATGCACATTAGGCTAAGAAAATGGCAGTGGTGCACTTTGAAACTAAAACACGTTTGATATGTTTTAGTTCAAAAGCGCGCTACGACCATTTTCTCAGCATTGACACACATTTTGCCATTTATACAAATGCACATGATGTAGCAACAGGCACTTTTAAGAGCACTCAGTGCTGCATCACATATATGCGTGCATGTGCTAAAGCTCTTTAGTTAACGTGCATTAAGACAGGTTAATGCATATTTTCCTAATAGCTCACAATGGAGGGCAGCTGTACAGGTACACAGAGCTTGGAGCACAAAAATTGACACGCCCCAGCAACCTTCCACATCATATGTATCAGCATCACTGCACATCTCCATGCTGAAAAAATGGCAGTGGGATGCTTTGAAATAAAACACATTAAATGAGCTTTATGTCAAAGCGCCCCACTGCCATTTTTTCAGCTTGGGGATGTGCAGTGACACTGATACATGTGACACGCAGGCACTTTTAATTAGCACAGCTCTCTAATTAAAGCACCCAGCATTGTGTCCCACAAAACATTTAAAAATGCCCAGTTACTAGATTTAATGTGCATTAACTAAAGCGTGTTAATGCATGTGTAGACATAGTAAGAGCAAAGAAACACAGACTGTACCAGTGGAGTTTGGTGTTTCACAGATTAGAGAAGAGGCCCAATTTCTTAAGGAATGAGAGAAAAAGAGTTTGATTTGCTTTTGCGGAGTGGTCTCACTGCCTTTTGTTACATTTTTATTTCCGTTTGTTTTTATATACAATCCAAATTTTTTTTCTTGTCCTGCTGTTTTCTGCTTTCAAAGACAGTTCAGGCAAATCTACATGTACTCTTTTGCATTCGTGTGTGCTGGGTTGGTCATCCACTATAACTGCACCTGGTGCACTGCAGCTCCAAAAACTCTCGCTCTGCTGACCCTGATTGGGAGCCAGTTGTGTAAATAAAATGCAGACTAATTAAATAATTTTTAAAAGTATGTTTAAATGTGAACACGCCTCTATCTTGCATTATAATATTTACCAGTAGATGGACTGCCTGATTTTTCTAAGGTTGTTGCCCATCTGTAGTTCTTCCAGTGGAAATTCAGAGAAAAACTAGGTTGTGAGCATCCTGTATATGAAATAATTGACTAGGGCACAGCAGGATATATGCTGTTTGGCTCACCATCCCAAAGCCTGATGGATCCAGCTCTGTGTCTTAAGGTCAGGTTACATGTTCAGGCCAGTAAGAGAGCCTCATGACTTTGCAAGCACAGCATTTATGCCTTCGGTGTTTAGAATTCTCCAAACTCAAACCCTGATGTTCTATATGCAGGTTTCTGCTACTGTGCATGTTTTGCTTTGATACACCTCCATTATATGAACTGGCCTTACAGATAGGCTAGCAGGACAAATCTCGTTCATTTGGATTTTTTTTTTTTTTTTTTTTTTTAATCTGAAAAATTCACTACTGGAATTGAAGCAGCTACTGTTTGAATAAATTGAGTGGAGTTCCAAAAATGGAATGTTTTGTTCCTTTCAGAAGAATCCTAGCCAACTTGACCTGTGTATAAATATAGGCAGCCAATGTGAAATGCATTCTTGCATTCTACTAAATTAAAGTGTGAGGTCTGTTTTCCCTTAAGTAGGCACTCACTTGTATTAATACAAGTCTAATATAACTCCTTAGAATATAATAGAGTATTTCCTAAAATGAGAACGTTGCTTAAGTGTCAGAGCACAGACATACAAGTGTAACTGGATTTTCCTCACATATCCTGGTGAACTGCCTGCTTTGTACTACACGTTTTTACTATACAAGCATTGTGTAAGATAAGCACAATGCAAATAGCTAAAAGTGACAGAGCCCTGGGCCTTAAAGGAAATGGATCTGAGTTGTGTCCCTTGTTAGCACTATAGAAGTCATTTGGCATAGTGTATGGAACAGGGAGGTGTGAAGCTATAAGTGATCATAGGGGATTTGAACTGCTTTGAACCCTTGGTGCTGAAAGGCCACTTTGTCCAGGTTGGAGAGTAAGTAATAAATGCAGAGGTGTGTGTATTAGATGCACACATTTAGTGAAAGAATCAGTACTTAAACTCAAAGAAAAAATAACCCAGTGCCCCATCTGAACAAACTCTAAACTGCTCACTTGCTAAAATATGCAGGACTAGAGGTCTGGCCAGCCCAGCCTGGGTGAGTAATCTCTGTGTGCTATACAGCAATATCAGTCTACTTGTCACAATACATTGAGATTGTCTTCCTTGAAGGAAGCATGCCTGAATATATAAATGGAAGCAACTGAAATAGCTTTTAGAGGCAGCATGAATAGGTATTTTGGGATCAGTAACTGCAAAGAATCAAAGTGACTTGGAAGTAGTTTGAACAGTCTAGTCCTGATCTCTGCCATAGTTTTTGTGCAAAAAGAAAAGCCTCAATGAAAGAGTGCAGGGAGAGTGGAACTTAAGTTTGGGTCCAAACATTTTCTTCTGGAAAGATAAAAAAAAAACTCTGATCAACTAGGTGCTCTCTGCTTGTTCTCAGTGGATTATTATGGCTCTGCACTTTGTAGAAGTGATGAAATATTACTTATCCTGGATATGTGAAAGAACTGTGACGCATCTATGTAATATAGCATATATAAATTTAATTTATATTTAATATACAGATCTACATTACACTTTCTGGTGCATCTGTCAGATTAATATCATTAATACCATGCTCATAAATTAGGGTTTGCCTCTGTTGATTTGGGACAGACAAGTAATCTCAGCCAAATATGGATGGGAGCATGTTGCATATAGTTGGATGAATGCCACAGTGAAAACAGAGATGGAGTTTTACAGTGATAATAGCTATTTGATGTATTACATATCAAGAATGCAGCTATGTAAAAAAAAAATATATATGTTGTTCAACATTAATGTTTGATCTGACTCATTTTGCAGTCATAATCAATACAGCAGGAACAAGTTACCTATCACCTGAATCTAGTTCTAAAATCAATATTTATCTCTGATAGGTTAACCCTTGGGGCCTATTTTTTGGTGTACAGTTAATGAGCACAAGGGAGGCACAGTCATGGAACAGGTGCAAACTCTTTTAATTTAGTTAAAACTACACAAAATAGATGCTCCAAAACAACCACTGCTTTTAATTGGCCTAGACACTTAATCCATTTTTAAGCACTGTAATTTGTCAAATCTTTAGCTTTTATTAGTCATTTAAAATTACCTCTCTTAAAAGTTTGATCCTGTGTAAGGGCAATGACTATATTGAAAATAGACAGTATGGAACATTAATCTAAAGACAGAGATAGGTAAACCTGCCCTTTTATTCTTCATAAACTAAGAAAATATGCCCTGGTAACCTACAGTATGATTCAGAAGGGAAAATATAACAATACTTTATCTTTCATAATCTTTCATTTGCCCTTAGAAAAGATCCAAAAAGGCCACTAGTAGTTTTCTCATTGACTGAGCGGAGGATTATTTTAAATGATTCCTCTTTTAATCTGACATTCTTGTTTCTGGATTTCTGTCTACTAGTGCAAGACCGGGAAAACCACAAAGCTCACGAAGCTTTTTGGTCCCTCAGGGCAGGGTTTGTGGTCGCTGCTAGCAGTAGGGAATGCAGTGTTTCCAAATCGGACTGCCCCTTTTTTGAGTTCTCTAAACAAAATCTTTGGGGGGAAAAAGATGCTTCTTTTTTCATATCTATTCAGTACTTGGCTTCTCTGCTGAATGCAAACGTTCAGCAGTAAATCGTGAGGATCCCAGTCCATTTTCTAGTATATACTGTCCATTCTGTAAAACCAATAAGGTAGGCCACCAATTGCCAGTGAGCTCTATCAAACAGATAATTGAAAATGGTAAAACTATTTGGGCAGACCCTCTGGCCATGTCTACATGAAACACTTTACTGTGCAGTAGACTAATCTACTGTGCAGTAAAGCATCACTGCCTACACGCACAGGTGCTTACCACACAGTAAATTAGTCTGCTGCATAGTAAAGGCAAGTAGCATTAATTGCACATGTAGGCATGACTTTTGTTGTATATGGGGCTAGTCACACTATCTTTTAAACTACTAAGCTGGATGTGGAGAGAGAGCATATTTTTGTCTGGTATAAGAGCAGCTGTGGAAAACTGATATAATTGCAAACCTTTGTAAACTACAATTGGGCACCTTAAAGCATCTCTTATAGTGAAGAGATTTTTGCATGTGCCCAGTAAGGGAGATTGTGGAAATTAAGCCCATGCTTGGATGCTTCAGTGTGGAAATTAAGCTTATGCTTGGATGCTTCAGAGGATGAGAGCTACCAAAAACTGGGGGATGAGAAATAGAGTGTTTTTTCCTTTTGTTTTTTTTTAAATTAGGAGGTCCAAGTTCCAGAAGAAGTGGCTGCATGCAGCCCAGTTGTCTCCTTCATTGGCTATTTCTGTATTAATCAGTCATTTTATGTCTACTTTGGGCTTTCTTTAATGCTTTTCACTGTAATAACTTAGCAGTGACATAATCAAGACATCCATTTAAATGCAGATACCTAAATGGGATCCAATTGCCACCACCTACAGTATTAGTAGTTTTAGTAGCAGGGATTAAAACTTCAAAACAAGCAACTGAGAACTGAAATTTGGCTTAGACTGGATTTCTTCCCTTTGCTTACCAACCGCTTTCCTGCTAAGAGACTTGATACTTGTATATCTACTTGACTCATTTATTCAGAATGTGCCAATACTGTATCTGGCTAGTCAAGCAGACATCTCTGAAAACTGGCTGTTATTTTCTACATGACACAACCTGAGTACATGTGGTTACTGGAAGGAGTAACTCCTGTGTACACAGCCCTAAGGAATCATTCCTTACTGTCTCATTTTTTCTGCAGAGGATAAGCACGGCAACTGGAGATGGCAAGCATTACTGCTACCCCCACTTCACATGTGCAGTGGACACAGAAAACATCCGCAGAGTGTTCAACGACTGTCGAGACATCATTCAGAGAATGCATCTTCGCCAGTATGAACTCTTGTGATTAGGATCACTGTGGAGCCTGTGGTTTTAAATTCTTTGCTCCTTAGTCTATTATCCCACACAGGGTGGAAGAATATATTATAGAAATGTCAGTCCCATCAGTTTGTTTACCTTGATTATTTAACCCTCAAGTTGATTGGAACCAAGTTTGGGTTTCTTTTCTTCCATGCTTTTTTGGGACTATTTGTGTGCTTTATTTTGACATGCCACTTCTTTATCATTCCACTAAGCCCTCTGGGCTTAAAAACCTTTCCTTAGGTTTTTTTTCCCCTTAATTGAACATAGTCTGCTAAATTTTTCAAGCAGGCTAATGTTACTTCAAACTGGTATCTCTCAGCTGGATGACACTAAAGTCATAACTATCCCTGTGTGTGGGTTCCTTTTTTTTAACATGACATCTAAGAGTACTTGATAGGTGAAAAAAAGAATAATGCACTTTGTATCAGGTTATTAAATACTGTTGAGGAAGTATACACACAATGTAGCAGCACCACAATATTTATTACTCTGTCACAGTTTTTAGCATTACTGAGTTGCAGGTCAACTGATAAAGTGACCTCCTCTTTTAAGCCGTTACTGGCACAGGAAGTAGAGTAGACAATGAGAGGAACAGTGAAGATAAGCAATTTTTCTGGGGTTTTGGGGCTAAGTGTCTCTGCACACCTCAGGCATTTGAATTACAGCTACTTTTTCAGCCTATTACATCTAGGCAGAAAATTAACCACCCTCAGTTCAGTTATTTGTGCTGTCCACAAATGATCCTCTTAGTTTAGATCATTCTTGGACAACAGTCCTCTCCCCTATATATATTTTTTGTTTTACTGCTGGTTTATTATATTGTACAGACTGTAAAATGTAATATTATTTTGTACAACTTTATTGAAGAAAAATACTTGTAGAAGATCTTTGTGCCTTGATTATGGCTGTACCTGTAAAATGAGCTAAGATGTAAGTATGTTTTTGACTGCGCTGTACAGCTTGATGTCAACCTTACCTGCAGCAGTGACTGGAGGTAAGAACTTTATCTGTAGAGTTTAGGGGTTTTTTTCTGGTTTATATAAAAATGCTCTTTAGTATAAAAAATTATAAATTATGCAAATTAACCACTTACCTTTCCAAGTAAGGTATTACAGTCACCGGATGTTGCAGCAACATGCCTTTCTCTTTTGAAGTCTCAGCTTTAAAACATTGGAATTCATTCAAGTGTCCAAATTGCAACCTGGTGTTGTTTTAATGGGAACCAAGGATTTTTTTTTCTTTATCTTTAGAAACTATGTTTGGTAATTCTTTGGTCATTCATAGAACTTCACAATTGCCGAAGCCAATTGTGAATGTGTAAAGCACCATTCTATAGAGCTCTTCAATCTTTGTACCAACAGCAGCTTTCATTGTGCAAGTAAATAGCAAGAAAGAAGAAGAAAAAAAAAAAAAAAAAAAAAAAAAGGAGTAAACCCTTGTGTCTGGCCTAAGAGAATTACAAGATGACATTTTTATTTCTCTTTTAATAAAGAGACACATTAGAAAATTGTTTTATTTTAAATATTGTAGAATCAAAATATGTGAATATTTCTCAGACTTGAATAATTTATGCAAATGACATTCTCAAAACAAGTTGTGGTACAGTACAATATACAAAAAGCAAGAATTGCTGTAGCAATAAGGCATGTCCTTTTTAGTAACTATAACACTGCTTTATATTTTATACATGGGTGTTTTGTGTCTGTGAGTATATACTTTTCCTGTGTCCAAGATAACCTGTACAAATGTCTAAAGTTACAGTTGCAATAACAGAAACAGAGAGAAAAAAGTGTTAGCTTACATTACTTCAGACATTGTTTTATCACTCCTTGGATTGTCTCCACTCTGTTTTAGTTAAGGACAAATTGAGCTCTGAAGTGTTTTCACCCAAACACTATGAACCAAATTTTTATAATAGAGGCATGACTTACTGTTTGTAAACCCAGTCTTTTTTCACTTATTAGACTGTAGAGAAAATTCAGTAATTGGTTCTATTTTAAAAGGGGATTGTTTCAATACTAAGTCAGAGACACTGTACTAAGACCCTTCCATAGTTTCTACCCCTTGCCATGAAATTACTACTGGGCTGTAGATATTTTTATCTCTGTATCTACTCCAGAGTTCTCATTGCGTTTCCCAGAAAGTGAAAGGCAGAGAGTAGTTAGTAATAGGTATAACTGGACACAGAAATTCTCTCGCTTTCCCTATCAAATCCTCCCCGTCAACAAACTAGCAGTTTTTTCTAAGAATAAGCGATGCAGGTAGGCTTAAAAAGTAACATGTTAGGCTAGAGCTCCCTTCTTCCACAAGGACATCAGAAGGAAACTTCCCAATGCAAAACAGTTTTCCTTCTGGTTAAAATGGGATTTTGTTCCCTCTTCCCCCATGCCAAAACAAGCAGGGACTCTAGCCTCTAGGTCTTTGCCATCTACCTACTGCCAACCATTTGGAGGCCCTCTGACTTCACCAGCTCTGAGGCCCACTGTGGCTATGCTGTTGGGGTTTCCCCATGCGGCAATCTTCATAATCCCATTAAAAGGGAGATTCCAGCTTGAAGGTAGTTCTACAATAAGGTTAATGTAACCTCCTTTGGTAACTATTTTGGAATCCTGTAGGGGCACATAATCCAGGACCAAGGCATAGGTAACTGTTAATACAGTGGTGTCTGACCTCCCTTCCTGGGGAAGACTGGCAAACGAAGGGACCCCCTCCACACAGATCTCTGGGATGCAACAGGGCCTTCATTTTTACAATTACCATAGCACATTTTTAAAGACAGCAGTTTGAGAGGTGTCACCCTAATTTTTATAGCAGGTTCGAAGTGTTTTGACACTTCTGACACTTGACAAACTGGACTTCAGAGGGTTGGGATATTTGACACTTACTGGTAGACAAGAGCTGCAGGTTGCAATCATCAACATCTGACTTTAATGCATCAGGGACTAGTGGATTTCTTCTCCCAAGTGACAGTCTTGCCCACCACATCCTAGAAATGTTAAGGAAATCTGCATCTCTTAATGCTGATTTATCTAGCTCCTGCTGACATTAACAGTCTCTCACACAAGAAGGGCATGCAGCAATAAAATATACAGGAGTGTTCCAGTTTGCAAGCCTAAGCCTCTACTAGGGTAGGACAAGTGCAGTCAAGTGATGAGGCTGTAATATTAACATAATGTACAGTTAAACTTTTAATATACATATTTGATACAAAAAAATATAGCAGAAAAGGACTCATTTGATTGTAGAATACAGTATTTTTGTACAGCATGAAACAATTTCAGTTAATTATTTATCCTGTAGTAGTCATATCAACTGTATAGGACTTCTATGGTATGTGTGAATGCAACCTGCCTTTGGGCTAGCAATCAAATTAGGTCATTTGCTGGCATGAATATAGTCTGATGTTTGACTGTTCTCAGCTTTGGTATCAGTGACTGACTGCAGATGTTTGGCTCTTCATACTGCTTTATGCTTACTGATTAAACGCTGAGCAAAATAAAAAGATGGCATGAGAAAATGAGCTAGTAGGAGGACCACAAGCAGAGCTCCAGCTGCACAGTATATAGTAAAAACTCTGCTCTCAAATGGAAGGAAGCACTTCTGGAGGGAGAAGTTGGTTGGTGTTATGCTACCCTGAAAAAGAAAAAGATTCAAGTTGCTCTTACAAGGCTGGGCACAGGTTTAGTTTGCTGGTTTTAAATCAGACACAATGGGATAGTTATCATGTTAAGTTCTACCTTGGGTGGCAGGACCTGACCCAGCTTCATAGCACTAATGCCTTCTGCCATTCCCCTGTAGTCTGTCCACACCCTAGAGTGCAGTAGAGTAAGGAAGTCTGCACTGCAAACGGAGTGTAGTGTTAACTCAGGTTTCCTAATCAAAATTGGTTAACATTAAAATAGATGGGGTGGTGTCTAACTTGGATTTTGAGCTTGAGTTGGGAACTCAAACTCAAGTTTATAGAAGGGATTGAACTTGAACTTCAGGTGGTAACCAGACTCAAAAATCCATCATTTGAATTAAAGTACCAGTGAAAACTCTCATTTGGATTAGTCCAACCTGAGTGGAGAATTTTTTTTTTGCAGTATAAATCATACATCTGACATGCTGCAGAGATTAGCTGCCATCAAGCTGCATACTTTCTCAGAAAAAAATTAAATAGGAAGCAGGTGTTAAAAGTAAAACTTCCTAGCAAAAGAATCATACAAAAAAAAAAAAAAAAAGAGAGAATATACAGATTGAGAAGGAGGCTTGGGTAATGGATAAAGAAAGTCTCACCCAAAAGCAGCAAGTTTCAATAATGAGACTTACCATGCTGTGAAGTGAATGGACAGATTGTGGATTCTCTATTTTAAAAGAGAACTTGTCAAATACTTGGAGTATCTTAAAATTGGGAAATTAGTTCTTAGTAATATCGATGATAAAAATAGTGAGCATTAGAACTATCTACTGAAGCATAACCAACATTCTGTAGGACATGTGAATTGGGGACACGGAGGCAGATTTTTGCCAGAAGACAAGAGTTTGCCCTGCGTAAAGTGATTAATGGGCAAGCTTGAAAAGGCAAGACCACCATACAGGTGGAGGCAGACGGTCTTGCTTTCATAGTTGATAAATCAACCAAGAAAAATTAGTGTCTCTACTGTTCAGTACACAATACTGATAATTTCTACAAGTCAATAGTTTACACTGCTCCCTCTTTATAAAAACATTCCTACATGCTTGTACTCGTGTACAGATCAAGCAGTATCACTTGTATGCTACACAGATTGTGCAGCTCCCACTGCTATGCTTTATAAAGTGGATGCAGATTATAAAAAGTGTTGCGTGTTTGAAGGAGTCAGCTTTTTTTGTTTTTTAAAAATCAGTGGCATTGGTTAAAAAAAAATAGATAACCATCTCTGAATAGCAAGCTGACAAAAAAAAAAAAATAAAAATATTAAAACATACCATAATGAAACTAGGGTTGTTTCTATTCCTCCAACTGAACGATGGGACACTGACTTCTAGAATTTTCCCATCATGCAGTACTTCACAGGCACTGTGGGTATGGCCACTCAGAATCAAGCGGGGATGAAACCACCATATCAGCTATATTGGAAACAGTTAAAGAAAAAAAATGTAAACAATGTTTAAATGCATTTTTTAAACAGTGACATGACTTAATACCTACTTTTTCTTCTGATGGGATTCCAAATAGTCTCTTTGCGCTAATGTTTTTGCAGAATCCTCCTATTTCCCTGGTCTCAAACAGCTTTGTGCGTTTTTGTAACATTTTATTAAAAGGGGTGCTTCATTTGGCCATCCTATGCATTAGAACTTGTGCAAAGCCTAGTATGTCACTGGCACCACATAACCCTTGCTTTTAAAAAGAGAAATGCTGCTTTCTTGTCTAGGAGGAGAACTACACTGCAAAACTTGAGCACATACATTTCTACTGTAGGAACCATATGCTGCCCATTTAATTCATTAGGATGTTTTGTTTGCACTTTTTATGGTAATTAAGTCAGTGAAGATAATGCTTAGAGTGTGTTGGAGAAGATCACTGACTTATTAGTCCTACCAAAAATGGATTACCTGTATACTCTCAAACTTTACATAGAGTACAAAATGCTACACTAAAGATAATGTTACTATAGCAGACTCAGTGCCTGGACCTACATGTGGCACAATCGTGGAGCCAAGACAGACTCTGGTGGTCCTTAGGCAGCACTTCTACCACAGAGTCTGCAAAGCCTCACTAATCGGGAAGAGCTGTGTTCAGCTTGTCTCAGCTAGCATTTGCTCTTTCCAATATGATATAAATAATTAAAAGATTTCAAGAAGAGATGTAAAGTTATGTGATATTAAATAAAGATGCTAAATTATCAAACCTTTTGTGAAGCTTCTTGAGAAAGTACATCATACTTTTCTTTAAACGGGATGTTCTTCTCCTCAGGAGGGGCAGAATCTTCTCCAGTGCATTCAGAGTCACTCCTCCTATAAAGAGGGTAATGCTTGCAGGGATTCAGATAAGAGCAGTTATTAGCTAACGGAAGTCTTTGGACAGTGTTACCAGATACATATCTTTACATCCCCAACAAACCTGTAAAAGGATTGGCTGTGAAACAGGAAGCTGTTCCACCTCTCTGCACCTTCTGCTGGAATGCTTCTGTTCCTGCAAACAAAATCAAGCCAGACAACTTATGTTTTTCATGTCTCAGTGGTAAGAGGAAGAACCTCAGATCATAGAGACTACTTCAGTACAGTATCTCATGGAAGCTGCTACGTGGCCTTACAGAGTTAGAGTTTAAAAATTAGGGGAAGGAATTTTAAGAGCTAAAAAGAAGGGAGAAAAGCTGTATGATGAAATGCAATCAGAGAATAGGAAAAACAATAAAAGAAATCTTCTCCAAATAAAAGATGTCCATACAGAGTGGTGGAAGAGTAGATGATACTGAATGAACAAAGCTTAAAATGTCTCCAAAAAAAAAAAAAAAAAAAAAAAAAGCCAATTCAGAACTAGAATTAAGTTCTAGGGGAATTTTAAGGATGGCATGAGTATGGTTATATCTTCTGTATATATGAGAATCTAATAGCAATATTTTACTGTATATGCTGGACCATAGAAATTTGTTATGGCCCTAAAAAGACAGTTGTACCCTAGCAAGTAAACAAAGTATGCATGAAGATCCTGGCTCCAATGGGAGTCAGCTTGGTCCACAACCCAGGATAAGAAGTTCAGGGTCCAGGTTAAGGCAAAGCAAATAGACAATTTTTGTTGAAAAGACAGAGAGGATTTAGAGCTTGTTGTTAATACTCTTCTTACACAAGAGAAGCAGCTTTATTATGGAAAAAGAGCTAAAAGTGTCGATGGTAGAATCTCAAGATAAATATTCCTCCCTGATATAACAGGTTATAAAGAATACATGAGGAAAGTTGAACAGGAGATGGTAGACTGAAAAAGATGCCTGTTCATGAAATGATTCATAACAACTTTATCCAAAGATCTTTAAATGCTCTGCAACATGAAGTGACTCACCAAAACTTGTACAGGTCATCAGTGGTAAAGCCAGAAATAGGATCTGTGTTTCCTGACTGCCCATCTGTTACGTCAAATTGCCTTCATTGTATCTGGCCAGCACTCAAGGCAGAATCAAGGTAACATGTGGTGAACAGTGATGAGTTTAATGAAGTCATGGTAACTGAAATCAGAATTTCATTATAGCTAAAAGGAAGCTAGAAAATTTGATGGAATCAAAGGGACACCTGTCTTTCTGAAGGATGAAGTAGAGACCCTATATGGGCAGGGTGGATTTGATTTAAATCCAATCAATTTGAGTCACGATTTAAATCACTGGTCAGGAAGCTTCGATTTAATCATTGTTTTCTATAAAAAGTGCATTCTTGTTTGATATCCTTTATTCATTTAACTTCTTGAAACTTTGCACTTTTAGAGAAAGGTAAGGGCTTGACTGTGTGTACACAAACTTGCAGAGACAATAGGGCTGATGGGTAGGTAATCAGGTCTGTTATCTCTCATTTCCATATACGCTGTTAAGAAAGATGTTCTCTCTAGAGACAGCAAACTCTCCCTGTGCCTGAAGGGTGGCATTTGTGCCCCAAAGCTTGCAAAGAACAATTTCTCCAACTACTTAGTTGGTCTAATAAAAGATATCACATCTACCCAATGAACCTTGTCTGCCTACTCTGGAGACAAATCCACAGTTCGAGAACTGAAACTAAGCATCACAGAGATACTCAATGGGATCTTGGATGGAGCATGGAGTCCCATTGGGTAGAGTGGTTTTCTTTAATCTTTCCTAATCTATAGAGGAGCCTCTGGGAACCCTGTAAGATTGGGCCCCTAATATAATCCATGGCCTGCTGTGACATGTTTATTAAACTTTTCTAAAAAAGGTGACATGAATATATTGTCTCAAATAGTATAGAATTAGAAGTTATAATCCCTATTCCATGATACCTTTGAGCTTTAACATATCTTAAATTAAAACTATCTTTATATAAGTTGCTTTTAAAAAAAATAATCTTAACCAAAAAAAAAACGATTAAGTAAAAAAAAAAATCTGATTTAAATAATTTTTTTTTTTTTTTTTTTTTATAAAAAGGTAGTTGATTTATCTGCCCCGTATATGGGAAGTTTAAGTGATTTCGTGAAAGAGAAGGTGGTTATGGGAGCGTTGGAATATATACAAGTGTGATCTGCAAGGTGATGTCTGAACAACAGGATAGGAAGAAGGGTTCTAGTGACAAGAGGGTTGGAGACAGATTTTTCAGAGAACCTGTATTCTAGGACCGTAGCACCAATACTTCACTTACCACAATGAACTGCTTTCGGTAGCAACCACTTGGTAAACACTTACCTGCTGGGAGCAATTCAATTTATGAGAAAGCTCAATGAGCTTTGCCTCTGCTAAACTGCAGATGGTGCAGCCATCACCCTCCAGAGCAACACTGTTCACCAGCACAAAACTGAGAGAGAGAGAGAGAGAGAGAGAGAGAGAGAGCGCGCGCGCGCACGAACTGTTTGGTGACTATGCATTAGTGGCACAACAAGGTACCATCTTTTGATGTGTTCACAACTTGCATATATTCAAGTCAAAACATACAGTCTGAATCCAGTAGTGGCTGTTCTCAGCTCACATAGTTATGGTGCAGATGTGTCACAACTTCTGTGGAGCAGAGACAACCAACGCTCCAAAGCTAACTGCCCACAGAAAGTGCTATTACAACGTCTGGCCACTAGGTGCCAGGGAACCCAGTCTGCATTAAAAAAAGGGTTGCTAGGCACAAAACTAAAAAAGGAGACACAAGACAGGTTCCACATAGTAATTTTCCCATGCAATAAGCTTATTACACATTTTTCAAGGGATCACATTACCCCTGAAAAGATGCACACCACAGGGCAGGGCAGGGCAGGTCTGCATAGCGTGTATCTGTTCCATTTTATGATGTTTCATGACCACGCTCTTCTACATGCTCCTGAAACAAACTATCAGCTGCCACTGCTCTACATGCTCACTTGTTTTCATAGATCTAATTGGCAAAATATCATTCAAAATTGTAACAAGAGTTTAAAAGTATATTTTGTTTGCAGTGCAAAAGCTGATAACATGGAATTATGAGGGAAAGTCAAGCCACTGCAAATTTTTATTTGTTCAATAAGTGACTCTTAGCAAAATTAAGGCAAAGCTATAGTGCAGAGGTCCTCCAACTGTGGTCCGCAGACCACCACTGGTCCATGAGCTCCATTCAGGTGGTCCACAGAAAGGTTATGGAACAAATCAAGAATCTCTCTACTTGTAAGGTAAAACTACCAAGATTAAAATATGAGTTGTGCGCTTTGATTTGTAAAAAAGTTTATTAAGTGGTCTGCTGAGACCCTCAGCAATTTGCAAGTGGTCCGCAAAAAAAGTTTAAGAACCACTGCTATAGTGCTTTTGGGAGCCACTGTTCCAACTATTTTGTTTTACACCTAAAGAGATGGCTTTCTAGTCAAGCTTTAGGTTTCAAGCACAGCTTCCACATCCTGCTTGCTCTGCAGCCACTTAACTGTACTTTCCTTTTAGATTTTAAATTAATCTTCTCTTGCTGCTAGCCTATTACCCATCACAAGCATAAACAGCAATTCTCTTGCATGCAAACAGCCAACAGAGAAGGGTGTATTCAGATTAACCACAAAAGAGGAACAACTTTGTGATTAAGTCTGTTACATGCATAAGTGAGCTACATTAATCATGCAAGGGTTACTAGAATATAGCAGATGAGTTTAAATCCCAACCAATATTTTTCACCAAATAAGCTGTATGGTTTGCACCTGTTTTCTGCACATGAATCTTCCCAGAGTCTATTTAATAACACAGTTTGTATCAGTAAGCGGGTTAGTCAATACGGTATTACACATACAAGCTGCAGTGTACTGTAAGTAAATTGCTGTACTATTTTAGTAAGGGCAGCATAGAGTCATTTCTTATTCCATAGCTATTTTTAAAGTTAGCTACTATACATGCATGTGTAGCACCAGACCTGCTTAACAAGAAGGTGTACTGCATGGGCCTGTATTATACTCAGTGTGCGTGTCTACACATGCACTTTAATGTGTGCATTAAAGCATCACTAAAAACGTGCTATTTAGTTAATGTACATTAAAATAGGCTAATGCACATTCTCCTAGTACCTCACAATGGCAGATACTAAATTAAATGTGCATTAACTAGAGCGCATTAATGCACATGTAGATACTCCTAGTATTTCTCTTTCCTGAATGGTATAGCACAGAGGTTCCAATTTATTTATTTTTATTAAACCCCTTCCAGATTTACCAGCTGCCTGTGTACCCCTACCAGCATATGTTTTATATTTTAACCCCTTAGGGCATTTTTACACAAGCAAGCACCGCAGCACTTCGAAAAGCACCCGGCACTGTGAGGCTTGCAGTTGTATAAGCAGCAAAATGCACATCAGTGCTGAGAAAATAGCGGCGGTGTGCTTTTGAACTAAAACACATAAAAGGTGCTTTATTTCAAAAGCACATCACCGCCATTTTCTGCATGCTCACACACATTTCACCAGTTGTACAACTGCACGCGATGCAGTGCAGTGCAGTGCAGTGCATGTCAGCTTGCAAGCAGACCAAACTCAATTAATTGGCAGATCTCTGGCATGTTGCAGGACCAAAAATTATGTGTATAAATGTGTTTTAATGCCAATTAGTATTATAATGAAAATTAAATCTTCCATTACATAATTTCTCCTACATATGCACCAGAGATGTCCACACCCCGGCATATGCATACCACAGTTTGGGAACCCCTGGCACAGCAGTTCCATGCCTGCTTAGAATGTTTAATATTTAAAAAATTAAGTCCATTTTTATTTGTACTTGTATTGCAATTTGTATTTGTTATTGTTATTCTTCCTGCACAGAATTAGAAGTTGCAAGTACGCATGACAAATAGTCAACAGTCAAAATATTTATCAAGGGTGGGGTGGAGCGGGGCAGGCGGGGAGGAGTGCAGAGTCTGACAGTATGCTTTTCAGCAGAGGCAATGTTCCCGTGTCACTGGAGTAGATAAGCCAAGGAGATATGCTAAATAAATGTAAACTCAACAGTTTATTTACTGGACCCTCAAAGGTTTCTCCAACTAATATTAAAAGCTTATTACCTCCTACAGTGTATGGTGGCTTACTTAGAGGCAAATCCTGAAGTGATCCCAGTTAAATCATTCCTGTGCATACGGACTGCAGGATAGGTGTTCTGTTGCCAGAGTCCACAAACAAGGGCTGAGCTTTGATAATAAAAGGGAGAACTTTCTACCAATGGTAAATGTTGGTATTTAAACAATGAACAATTTAGCTCAATCCTATACATTTTTGGGTAAACAATAACAGGAAAAAAGGGTTTAGCAAAATAAAAAAGAAGATCTAAGAAATAAGAGGGTCTGAACATTAGCAAAAAGTAGCCTTACTTGACTCCTTTCCGGGTTACTAGCATTTCTGGGGTGAAGTTGAAGACTTTTTCAAATCGTTTTAACTTGTAAGTGGTCATTCTGTGTTTTGTTAAACAAAAAAAAACAAAAAAACAAAAAAAAACAAAAAAAACCACTGTGATACTCAAAACCTTGGCATAATACACTGAAGACTGCCTTTTACATTGGTTTACAAATGCGGTAAGCAGCTTACTTCTCCGGTGTCCACATTATACCTTAAGGCTCAGATTCTGCTGCTTTGCCACTATGCTCTGGCTTCAGTCTTACTGCAGTGTACACTTACGCCCTCCTGTAAATACAGCAGGTAGAGGCCACTCATCCTCCCTGCTGCAGAAATAACAAGGAAAAGGGAATACCCATCTATCTCTAGGACCCCTATCTATAGGATCTATTGGGCTGCTGCAATTCAACATGCGTTAGAGCAGTGCTGAGTTTGTTGTGCCAGCACAGCCAAACTGGCTCTGAAGAGAATAGTAGCACAAGCAGGAAAGCACACAGTGAGCATGAAGGCACTTTCATAAGGCATTCCACCACCCAGCCCAAAGATCTGACTTCTAAAGTGAAAGCCTGGCTTAATCCATACTTGAAAACATTCTAGATCAGGGCAGGCAATTATTTTGGGTGGAGGGCCGCTTACCGAGTTTTGGCAAGCTGTTAAGGGCCACATGGGTAGCTCTACCCCTTGACAGGTGTGCCCCCCCCCCCGGTCACCATCTTGGGACTGGAAATCCTGCCCCCTAAACCCTGACCTTTGCCACCACAAGTCCCTCCCCATGCCCCCAGAAGTACTCCTTTCAGCAAGAGGTTTTGCCATCTTGGAACCAGAAAAATACCAATTGATATTCTAAAAAACGTGAACATCTAAATCATTCATTAATTTGATTTCAAAACATATTTTTGTCCTGCTTCACATGTTTCCATAGTGTACATAGTGGTGACTGTATATAATAGCTTAAAATGAAGTCTTACTCTTGTATATTAGGGAAGTATAGGTATTTCAGGTGTGGGGGTGGATAGGTGTGAGGGGTGTGTGGGGGCCATGTGTGGGAGATGGTGGCTGTGGGGTGTGGGTCTGCATGTATGGGAATACAGCCAGGAGCCACATGGTGCTGGAGCAGGAAGGCAAGAAAATGGCTAGGGGTGGGGTGGGGTGGGGCGGGGCTCCTACCTCCTGCTGCCAGCTCCCTGGGTCCTACTGCCCGTGGCTCCTGTCATCTTTGACAGGCAGCCAGGAGCAGATAAATATTTTCTAAATCTTTTAGGGGTCCCGCAGGCCGGATAGAATGGCCTGGTGGGCCAGATCCGGCCTGCAGACTGTATTTTGCCCACCCTTGCTCTAGAAAATTTGAAAGGCTTTGAATCATATGCAAATCACAGGAATTACTATTTGGACCCTGGCAATTCTGTCTTACTGAAATACTTACTCATAATGAAAGCCAATGTCATGGTTGCCAACAATAACCACAAGCTCAGTTTCGGCTGGATGTCGAAACATCTTCTGAAATCTCCTGACATCATCTGCCCAAGCCTGCAGGAAAATTGTAGAAATCGGTGGTGCTGAAGAGAACTATGAAAAAGCTTACTTGTGTGGTGTCACATTGGTTAATAGACCGTGAGAGACGTTTGTGTTTTAGGAGCCTGGACTATGGAAAAGAAAAAAGACAAAACTCCCCAAACTTGGGAAGAATCGCCAGATTTCAGTTTGACAAGATGGGTTCATTAAAAGAGGTGCTAGCATGCCGAATGCTCTTGCAAAGAGTGAAAATTGGCTTTAAAACATAGTAAAGAAATAGAACTTTTTGATCGGCCAGCAACAGATCAAACTCCACAGGTGGGCATTAATACACAGGTCTGATTATTACCCTTATTATTGTTTGCCAAATTCTCTAGCAAAAAACTTTTGCACACTCTGGATAATACACTTCTTCAGATTCCAAATGCCAATTGTCTCCTGTACACTAAAAAAGGCTGAATAAATTAATCGTTTGCTATTTAAGTTTCAATTGCTGCCCATTCTCATTCTAATATCCTGTCTTGCATCTTAGGAACTGGTGGCCTCAAAGCTTTATAAATATGTTGTGGTCTTGAATTTTACCTTTTTGATAGTGCAGGACATCAGTAAGAAGAGGATTGTGCCAGTAAAATAGTACTTCCTATTAGCAGGAGTAAACCCACCTGATCCCCTTTTCTGTTTTAGTGCTTCATATGTACAATAAGGATCACACTTAACCCCGTGCCCCAGGCATGCCCATTCTCTGTGCACACCCTGTACCATCTTAACCATGTAATCGAAGTGCCAGGGGTCTAAACTCCCTCAAAGCAAGAGAGAAAACTTAGTACTTAATGGCTATGTGTAGCCCCCATTCAGACTGGGCCACAACAGCCTTGTAGTGCCAGGATCACATCACAGAAAACCTTCCATCCCATAATACAGAATTATCAATTGGGCTTAAGGATAATCTTCCATTTACGTTAGTCCCACTTTGCTCATCTCTGTGGATCAACCCCTTCATGGAAACCCAATTGCTTATTAACTCATCAAGCAGATGTGGCCCTCTTACCTGTGAGCGGCTCCACTTCCCTTCATCAAAGACATCACCCAGAATAAAAACAACATCTGGCTGCAGTAACAGGGCAGTTTGGAAGGCTCTCTCCATTTGCCACTCCCTACAGAGAAAAGATCTGGTCAATATATGCCTCTACCTTCCTGCTACTTTGAATATACAGTCTGACCTGGCAGGAAGACAAGGCAAACACGTACATTCCTCACTTATAAGGTAAGGCAGACACCTACAAGACTTACCATGACACTAGAGGTGCACCAATACATCGCTCCCTATCATATCAGCACCAATAAAAGGAAAATTTACATGCTCAGCAATCAGCTTTTTTTGGCTGATGTGACCAATAATTTCACCAACAAATGCTGCGTGTACACATGCAGCCGCAGCATGTACACAGTCAGCCCGGCAACTTGAAGAGCAGTGTCTGGCTGGTAAATCTGCAGGGGCGGGGAAGGGGCAGATCAAGGCTCCTACCCTGGACATCTTCAAAAGCAAGACTGGATGCACATCTTCCTGGAGTTAACTTGACCCCAGCAGTCTTTCCTGCCCAGAGCAGGGGGGCTGGCCCTGATGATCTCATAGATTTCATAGACATTAGGGGTGGAAGGGACCTCGGAAGATCACCGAGTCCAGCCCCCCACCCAAAGGCAGGAAGTCAGCAGGATCCCAGCAAGATAAGCATCCAAATTTTTCTTGAAGGTGTTCAATGTAGGTGCTTGAACCACCTCTGATAGCAGGCTGTTCCAGACCTTGGGGGCTCAGACAGTAAAGAAATTCTTCCTTACGTCCAGCCTGAAACGATCTTGCAGTAGTTTAAAACCGTTCGACCTTATCATCCCCTGGGGCGCTCTGGTGAACAAACGTTCCCCCAGATACTGGTGGTCACCCGTGATAAATTTATAGGTGGCCATCAGATCACCCCTGAGCCTGCACTTTTCCCACACTAAAGAGCCCCAAGCTCTCAGCCTGTTGTAAAGTCTGTTTTCCTGAACTCTGATCATGCACGTGTCTCTTCTCTGAACTCTCTCAAGCTTCTCCACATCCTTTTTGAATTGTGGGGCCCAAAACTGGACGCAGCACTTGAGCTGCGGCCTCACCAAGGCCGAGTACAAGGGGAGAATGACGTCCCGGGATTTCTTTGAGAAGCATCTATGGATGCAAGCCAGTGTTTTGGTTGCTTTACTAGCCGCAGCATCGCATTGCAGGCTCATGTTCATCTTGTGGTCAATGATGACCCCCAAGTCTCTTTCTTCCGTAGCGCTAGTCAGCGTAGCACTGCCGAGCCTATAAGGATGCTGCAGGTTTTTCCTCCCAAGGTGGAGAACCTTGCATTTTTCTCACAAAGTCCCTTCCAGCCCTAAACTTCTGTGAATCTGTGAGGCCCTCACAGTGAGCTAGTGGAGCTGGGGCTGACACTGGACTCTTCCTGGTGGAGGGGCTGGGCCAGGGTTGCACTCAGGGTGGGTGGCAACAGCACTGGAAGTGGGGGGCTAAGGCAAATTGTGGGGTGGCTGCAGCTCCCCTATAGCACCCCCCTCCCAGCGCCGCCACCACCCGCTCCAAGCACAGCCTCCCTGCTGGGAAGAGCCCAGTGCCGACTCCGCTCCCAGTCCACAGCAGCAGCCCACCTTCACCTCACACACAGATCCAGGGGCACATTCCCCCCATGGCTCCCCTGGGGGTGCACATAGCAGCCAGCTTTGCCCCCTGCCCCATCCCGACTGGGCAGCACCTGCCCCAGCCCTAGTCCCTCCCTCACCACAGGGGCCTCGATCTGCCCCATTCACACCCCTTCCCTCCCCACCACCCCTTCCACCCAACAGACTTACCAGCCAGATACGGCTGTCCAAGCTGCCAGGCTGCATATCAGCAATCAGATCAGTATCAACCGATATGGTTCATTAATAATAGGTCATCGGTATCAGCCAAAAGAGTCTTTATCAGTGCACCCCTACATGACACCTAGTTAAACGTAAATCCTAGGGGCCCATTTACATGCTCAAGCACAACTGAATGCGTGTCATTTTTGGCACTATGGATATTTTAGATCTATTTCTACCTGCACACCACTCCTTCTCTGTCCAAGCATGCACCAAAGCCTCCCCTACGGCCACATGTGCGCCATCCTGCACAAGGTGACACAGAACTATATTTAAGAACTTGAAGCTGAAACCAGAGCAAAATCACAATTAGCAAGTGGGCAGCAAATGTGATGGTGGAGAAGGATGATTACCTTCTAGCCCAAAAGTTTAGTGTAGGACTGTCCAACTGGCAGCCACAAGGGTCCTGCCTGGTCCCCTCTTCCCCTATTGTCCCAGCTGCAACAGCAGCTGGAGTTTCTGGGCTCTCCCTCCTCTGGCTTCTGATTTCCATGCCTACCCCCAGAGTGGGGAGATGCAATGAGGCACAGTGAAGAGAGCTGAGGGTGAGCCTAGGGCTGTGTGGGTGTATGATGCAGTGGTGAAAGGGGCACCCATGTGGTTGCATGGTGCAATGCAGGCAGAAGAGGGCTTGCTCACATGGCCCAGGGATGCCATAGCCCCCACTGATACTGTGTGTGGCCCCCAGTCACTTAGAAGTTGAACAGCCCTAGCTTTAGCGGCTAGGATACATGCTCAGATTCCAGGTTCCCCAGACCCATAAAGGGTTTGAACTTGCATCTCCTACTTCCCAGCACAGCTGGTCAACAGAACAACCAAGTGGGGCTAAGAGAAGAGCAAGCCAGGAATGCAGTTTAGCGAGATGGAAACTACAATGGAAGGGAGCAAGCCCTGGATTTGGCCCGGTCCCTCTCTCCAGTTGCTTTTCTGCAGCTTTCAGTAATAACTGCCTAAAATAGAGAGACAGCTGGAGGATAAATTTTGCCCACTCCACAGAGCCCAAAACCCAGGTCTTGATCCCTTCTATTGCTATGCCCATCATAGATTCACATTCTTTCTTGCTTGCTGTCCTCTGGGACTCGCATATCTTCTACTTAGGTACCTAGTGAGCCAGCCTCTAGAGGAGGGCTGGAAAGTGCTCTGGGTATTCCCTCGTTCATAGCCTGGTAGTTGAAGCATTTTGCTGCAAAACAGATGTAGGTCAAACCCCTTCTGGCTGGCTGAGAAGTCCACCCTCTTCCCACAGTCACCATTCAGATGTTAGTTGTGGGATTTTTCCAGCCCCACTTTCAGAGTTTTATGTAATGTTACATGCCTAACTAGCAGAACCACCAGAGTGGAGCCTTCTAAGCATCTTCAGAAGGGAAAAAACATAGCTGTACATGGAAATAGGAACTAAAATCATACTGAGTACCAAAAATGCTACTTACATATAGCTACGTTTGGGCACATAGCATTTAGATGTTTAACTGTGAGTAAGATTTAATCCTTAAAGTCTAGTAGGTGAGCTTCCCCCTTCCCACTCCACCAAAACACACACTGCCCATTCATGACATTCCATGCATAAAGTGTTGATGAAACTAAATCTTCAGCTCATTTTAAGGGATTATTTTAAAGATTATATATAAATAGATTGTTAGTAGAATGCTGAATACTCATATATGCAATAATGTTTTTGTTCCTTCAGCAATCTTTCAAATTGCTAACCAAGTTTCCTCTCTGGCTAATGAAACAGCATTACAAATCATTTAAACAACACATTAACTACATGGTACCTCAAATGCAGGAAGTCTTTTTTGCTAACAACAAAAAATGACATAACACTGTTTAAAAAGATATCAGCTTGCCTTCACAAAACAAGGGTAGGCCAGAGTACCATGGCTGTGCTCTATGCAAGGTTATACTACTGTTTTAAACCTTTCCTGTATTAGGGCACCTAGGGATGTGTCTTACTTGAGTAGGTGTTGCTTTGAAATGATGTGAACCAGGCTCCTGTTGCAACTCAGAATAGGCCACATTCTATTATTCTGCAACTGGAACACCACTGAATTTGGCAGAAATGCACTAAATTTACACTGCTACATAAAAATGAATCCTATCCTACATACATACATACATACATACTATTAAAAACTGATAGTTCAGCAATAGCTTGATCTCTCAGCAGTTACCGATTCTGAGGATAACTACAAGTTTCACGTGATGCCTTAATGACCTGTTAAATTTTTCCCCCACTGGTGTCATAAAATAGAAACAAGCAATTTTGTATCTAGTCAATGCAGGGTTACACAAAAAAGAAAGTTACAGCTAGAAGGTTTTACTCTCTCTCAGGGAAATAAAATCAAGAGAAACTCCTTTGACCTCAAGTTTCAATCTCTCCTTCCTCAACTCTTAGCTTTTGATACAATGATTCTACTTGAAAGAAAAGAATAGTCCTGAGCATTACCAAATTCCATCTCCACAGTCCTATACCTCATGTCAGGACAGAATAAGCACTTTCCTTCTGCTTCTCTTTGGATTAACATGAAGAACCAACATGGCTTTGTGGATTAGGTTCAGGACTGGGAGATCTGGATTTTACTCCTCATTCTGCCATTGGCTCACTGTGTGACAGTAATACAGGGACCTTAAAAAACAGGGATGTTGAACAGCTCATTTCTGAAAAGCACTCTATCATTTATGAAGTATTACTATGATCTGGAAAAAAGACTCCCTGATCCAAGCAAGGTACTCAGAAGCTTGTGACAATTTTCGCTATGTGAATCTGTCAGATGCTGCACTGACTAAATAAACTGAATTCCTTAATCCTACAAAATTATTTTGTTCTCTCCATCCCAAACTCAAATGAGAACTCATAGCCAGTCAGGCTAATTTGCCACCATTGCACTATGCTATTTAGTACTTGTTGTATATGGATACTACTAAAAACTCCAGACATTGGTTGCAGCTTGTTCCTGAATTCAATTATTACCTTCTTAATTTGTCCAGCCAGTGCCCTTTGATTTCACCAAGCAGGTGGGTATCAGATAAAAACATTGCCTTCAAAACAGAAGCTGAAGTTTGTCTGCTGCCCTTAAGTGTGTCAGTTTTCGCTTCTGGCCAATAACACTGAAATATCACTACATAATAAATTAAAAATTCACAAAAGATTAACACTGAGCAGGCAAGACACACAAGCATCAGAAGAAAACAAACTCTCTTCTTCAAAGGAAGATTCTTCACCATGCCCGAGCTGAATCTCAACATTGCTAAAGCAGCCTATGGAAGTAATTCTCCAACGGGAAGAACTTGTCACACAGCTAGAAGTGTGCAGGTCCAATCAGAGGTCTTCACAGTAATACAAAATACCTGCAAAAGAAATATAAAGTATTCACAACGACTGGGTTCAAGGCACTAGCCAAGCACAGTTTATTTACAAGATGTGAAGCCAAATACCAAGCCGAAAAAGTTAACTGCCTTCATTTTAAAAGCTTTGAAGCTCTGACACTAAAGACTTAAACTTCAAGCCTAGGGACAGACATTCAAAAAGCCTGAGCCTGAATTGATTCAATCTTTGCAGGTTAGTCTAACCTGGCTAGGATGAACCGGTTTGTAACTGGACAGACATTCTCTCTGGACTGAGGAAATTCAGGCACATGCCTGCAGTGGCTCAGGCTAGAAGGTGGGGGTGGAGGGGTGCTAGAGCAGCCTTCCCCTCCCTTCCCTTCCACAATGCTGAGCCTGGGTGGGTGTGGCCACGCCCCAGCAGGATGCTTGGATTAGAGGGGTCTGCCTGCATGGTCCCAGGCTTTTCCCCCTCTGGCTGCTCAAGGGGCAGGAGTGTTGCCAGACCCCAACCCCCTGCTAGCACTCTGTGAGGCAAGAGGGTCTGTACAGTGCATGCATCTGTTGATGATACATACGGAGCTTTTCAGTCTTCCTCTCCCTGCTTCTTTATACTGTCTGCAGCAAACTGACAGGCAAGCAAGCCAGCAGGAGACTGATAACAGTGATTATCACCTCATCAGCAAAGCAATGGGCTCTTTCCATTAGTTCAAACTCTTCTTAAACAGCTTATTGGCTGACCTGTTGATTAGCTCCAAACAGCCCTAAACAGACACTGTGCTGTCTGCCTGTCCCAGTGATATTGATAGAGAGACACACAGAGACACCTCTAAGCATTAGCTAGCATACCATGTGCCTAGGGGCCATGGGGCTGGGGGCCATGCTGTGGGAGATGGAGGGGGGGCGGGGAAGAGAAAGGAAGAAGGATCCCTGCTTGAGCAGCAAGCAGCAAAGTGGGGATAGGGCAGAGGGAAGCCAGGCAGACCCTGCTGTGTCTGCACTCTCTACCAGAGCTCCAGCCAGAAAGCAGAGGGGAGGGGCCAGCTCTGCTGTGGAACAAAGAGCCTTGCCCAGCCCAGAAAGCATGCTGGAGGTGTCTGGTTTATCTTAAATCAGCAAGGGGTCTGGGACAGACATTGCATACACCGATTTGAGCCAAATCAGTTAAGTCTGATACTACATTCAACCAGGTTTATCTCAAACCAGTTTCAGTCAGTCAGTCAAACTAGTTTATGTGCACTGAACATCTGTTCTGTTACAGGTTTAAACCAGTTTCTGATCAACCAGTTTGTGTGTAATGTCTGTCCCTAGCCCAAATGCCAAGCTGCAATTCTCAGCAGGATGAATTAGTTCACATTGAGCTTTATACTACCATAAACTGCTATGGTAGTATACTAATTTACATACAAAACTTAACAATAGTTAAGTTTCTCTCTAAAAATAGAGACATGAATGATGGGAGCTTGTCCTGGAGACACTGTAGTAGGCAAAGAGAACAGTAGCACATGCACTAGGTCACATGCAACTTTTCTGGTGGTCACCTAATGTAACCCAGTTCAAAAGGATAGTGACTTCACTGAAGTGCTGCATGAAAGCTTCCTAGTAGAAAGAAAAAAAAAAAAAAAGACCTGACCATGCCCCTGAGCAAATCTACTGGAGGCTTCCAGGACTAGCAGGTGACTGGAGCCTCAGCTTTCAAAGGGGAAAAATCAGAGAGATATGAAGGTCTTAGTGAAACAAAGCTCTTTTCTTTTGGAGAATTCATGATAGTTTCAAACAATGTTAAAACTTAGCACAAAAGTCTCCATCCTGACAAAAGTTGGCAGCATCTATCACAGGTTTCTCTTTTTACTGTTGTTGGAAGTAAAAGTCTTCCTGGATATCAAGGAACTATCTTTATTCGTAGTTAAAGTAGAAGCAGCACTTTCACAATACTATTTCTTCCATAGGCCTGTGCAGAAAAATTGTTTTGTGCACAAAAAAGCCTTAAGGGACAGCCGAGTCACTAGATTTACCTTAGAGCAAAATGGATACTCCGTGTGCAGCCTCTCTCTGGAGTTCAGTTAGAAGATGACACAGCATGGCTGAACCTGCTTTTAAAAGACAGCCAGTTAGAGGCATGCTTATCGAAAGAGGAAAGTGGCATTGTTTCAATACAGATTTGAAGAGGTATTAAAGGGAAATCTGTAATCTTTTAAAAACAGAAGAATGAAACATGATTTGCTTTCCTGTGGTCCGATGATAAAAAGCAATGAAAGCTGCAAGTACTAAGCATTGCTCTCCACACATCTAAACACTTTGTAAGCTGAAAATAGGCGAAGTTATTCATTTTAACAGATAAGAAGTGATTCACTCACTAGGTGCCCAATAGTTTTGAAAGCCTTTAATTTTGGATGCTCAATCAAAACATCCATAGCCATCAACCTGGAATTCCGGACAATCAGTAGCCTCAAATGGGAGGGAAGAAGGAAGTGGGAGGGGCAGATACCCTAAATATCTGGAGTTAGACAACCAAAAGTTAGACCACTCAGGAATTAACAGACACTTTTTAAAATGCTGGCCTCTGCAACTTGACTAAAAGTGAATATTTGCAAAGCAGAGGCACATACTACAAAATGTATGCTATTCAATATATTAGTAGCTGTTTTAGAAGAGCACAGGACCCAATACAGGGGCAAGAGCCTCCAAATGCAGAAACTGCTAGTTCAGGGGCAAGCAATTAATTTGGGCAGAGGGCCGCTTACTGAGTTTCGGCAAGCCATCGAGGGCCACACGACAGGCAGCCGGAGGCAGATTAATATAAATTTTCTACATTTTTTAGGGGCCCCGCAGGCCGGATAGAATGGCCTGACGGGCCGCATAGAATGGCCCGGCGGGCCGCATCCAGCCCCTGGGCCGCATTTTGCCCACCCCTGTGCTAGCTAAATGACAAAGCACCACAGAAAGCAGCAGTTAAACAAAACCGGCCTTTGTATACTGGTTGTCTGACTAGTGCTAACCTGTGAGCAGAAAAAAAAAAAAAAAAAAAAAAAAAAACCACGCCAAACAAACAATTTCAACAATCCTGTTTCATATGACAGTAAACTCATGCAAACACAGGCAAATCATAAATATCTTCTGTTCCTCTATTAGACACTTTTGCTAAAACGTTATCCTTTGCCACACAAATCATAGTCATCACGTCTTGCAAATACCCACAGGATAGCAGCTATACTATGATGCAGCTGCATTGTTATGCACCATTCTCTAATTCAAAGCAATGATCCACTTACTCCAGTACTGCATCTGGAACAGACTGGGGCCAGCTGTTTCAGGGGAAGGAACAAGAAGTTCCATGATGGTGAAGTATTAATAACCTTCCCTTTGGAAAAAGTTCTTCTATCAAAGAATCAAATTTAGTTTTCCTGTCCTGCAAGCCTGTTAATGAAAATCAAGTGATTTGTGGGCAAACTGTACCTCCTTCAGATACCCGAGGTAGATTTTGGCAGCTCTTGGATAATCTGCTCTCCCAGCAAAGTAGAACTCAACTGAATAATAAATGTCAGTACATCCTTAACTTACATTAGGATACAGAAAAAATAAAGCAAATTCATTCCCAATGTTCAGCTGCTTTTCAATAATTGCTCTCCATTAAGTGATTTCTCCAGCTCAACTGGGGATCTATCCATACAGATACTGAGCTACAAAACGGTGCTGAAAAAACAAAAATCTTCAGTCATTTAGAACATCCCTTTGAATGCCGAAAGCCAAGGTGGACCAGGAAAGAAAATGCGGTGGAAAAGCCTTTTAAAAAGATCACCAGTATCAGCAGAAAACCACCCAAGAAGAGCAAGGAAGATAAAAATCCTCCCTGGATATGTCCCTGGCTTGGTGCTTTTGCTGCTGGTACTGAAAGAGCTGTGCTGCAAACCGGCAGGATGCCAGAAATGGCTTCTGCCTTCCCTCGCCTGCTTGCAAAAGGCTGTGACAGACAGAGCCAAGCAGGTTTGGTACTGACAAGAAGGCTACAAGACATCTCTTCCTATTGGCCAACTGAAATACTGATCTGGATTGGTTGTTTTAGCCTTTGGTCCAAGGAGGTCTGGCATTGGTTAATCATAGATTAATTCTGGTTGGCTGTTCTCCCCTCCTCGTGTTTTCTCACCGCTGTGCTCCTTTTAAACTAAAAATACAAAGCCAGCTTGACTGGAACTGTAGGTATAATAGTGATTCTCAGTACAAAACGTAGCATACTTGGAGCCTGGTAACAACAGAACTGTTCTATAACACACAGCAGTTAGCAGGAATCAGGGACCAAAATTAACATGAGTCCTAGCTTTGCTGCATGATTTAACCATGTTGAAATATACTGGGGGACAACTATACAGCTGTTAGAAGTCCCCATCATAACTGTTTTGTTTAGAACTTTGTCCTAAAGTTATAACAGATTTTTTTTAACCTTAGAACTTACGTAACACAATTGAAAAAAAAACTTAGGTCATAAAAGATGAAAATGTCCTATTCTGTTCCTATCGAGTCAGTGACCATTCATACCGACTTAACAAAGAGAGGCATCAGGTCATAAATAAACTCAGCGTATGCAATGTAATGCCAAGTCAGCACCATTGTGACAGCAGTGCTTTGGAAATGCAGACTTCTACAGAGTTGCATTCTGTATTTGTATCAGCATAACACAGGTAAAAGTGAGCTTATTTCTTTAAAGAGTCCCTGTTTTCCCTTTTTTGTTTCTTTTGACACCACTACCATCTTCTAGAGCCCACACTGTCAAATCAGAGTTACTGGTCACTTTGAGTCCTCTATCTTAATCTCCCACACCTAAAACCAGGGGTCTTTGATTCCTCCATTTCATTTTCACTTTGGACTTAAAACGTGGCCTGTGTGCAGTTTTCTTTCAGCATTTTGTAGAGCAGAGCTTTCCTTCTACTCCAAACAGCTGAAGCCTTTTCAAATGCCCCAATCAACTCTTACTTATTGTTACTTTTGCCTCCCTAGCCAACATTGCACATTTTTAACCCCTCGTCATCTCCCTTCCCCAATAAACCAACTTTAAGTGTCTTTCTCCACCATCTTATGCTGTAGCCATGACGGTCCAGGATGTTTATCTCAAGGATGTCTAGCATTGCTGTATCTCCTACCAAATCCCTTTACACTGCCACATGGTGCTGCTTCCAATACATTTCAACTGTTTTTTCTACATGACTTATCTTCTAGAGCAGGGTTCAGCAGCCCACAGGCAGTGGGTCCTGTCTGTAGAAACCTTGGACCTAGCCTGCAGACATGGGACTTCAGCAACATTTGGCTGATGTGCCTTTTTCAGGGTGGGTCCTTCCAGCCCGCTGCCAGAAAAGTTTGCCCACCCCTGTTCTAGAGGGCAACCTACCATATAAGATGTTATCCCCATACTGGTTCACAGGGCCGTTCGTTTTTCCTCATTCAGATCCCTCTGAAAGCTACATCTATGTGGCAACACTCACTATTATCGAGGCTACATTTTTAAAAGCTATATATGCACTTGGAAGTTGAAACATTACAAAGTATAAATTGAGGAAGCCCATGATCATGTTGCAGTAACCATCCTCCATTTTTCCATGCCCTCCAACTGTCTATTCTTCCTCATCCTACAAGCCTCCTTTTTTCCTCTGGTGTGAGGCACTTTATTTGCCTTTCAGGAATGTAAAAGAGCAGCTGCCACCTGATTTTGCAGTTCAAGCTCAGCACAAGGCACCATTTTCACTGTGGAATGTATATAATATATATACAAGATTTATAAAAAAAAAAAAAACTTGTTACGAAGTGTACAAAAGTATTCCTGCAACATTCGTATGGAACAAAAAACAACACCACTGAATTTCTAACACAATAACATTTACAAAGGACATGTTTTATTTTAAAACTATGCCAAAAGACATAAGGTCATTGTCCAAAATATGAAAGCATTAAAGTATCTTGAATTCAAAGCCATGATTATGTTATGAAAGTTGTATGCTACCTGATAGTGAATTGAGTTTGTTTTGTTTTGCAGAACTAAACATTAAATATCAAAATCTAAACAGGGGAGTTTAATTGCTATTAAGTTATAGCAATTAACTATGTTACAGAATATAAAGTAAAAGCAAGTCCATATGTTGCACTGATTCGTTTCAAGCATTTTTCATACTGATTATTTAGTTTAATTGATTCTTGCAGAGCATGCTTTAAATCTTCTATCTCATCAAAAAAAATCCTAAACAAAAAAAAGAAAGAAATAATTGGCATTCATCCTTTGTTCTTGAGAAAGATTTCCCAATAGTAATTGGGAGATTATAGCCACAGCTCAAATCATTCCCCTCTTTGAGCACCTGCCCAGAGTGCTTTGCAAGTTACATATATAGGAATTACTTTGCCACTACTGATATGCAGGGCCAGATGGAGAGAGATGTAGCAATTAGCCACACTACACAACAGTTTACAGCTTTATTTTGGAGGAGCATCTATCATACAAACTGATTGCAAGATATTTTTCAAGATTTACATACGGTAAGAGAAAGAACTAGAAATGATACTGGCAGACAGAAATTAAAAAGAGAAGCAAAAGAGAAGCCAGCATGGCAGAAAAAATACAAAAAAAGCAGTGTTAACATGACAAGGAAAAGTTGTGACACAAACCCAACTGCATGGAGGACTAGAGAATGGGTAGTGTCAGACAAACAAACAAGCAGTTGAGAAAGCAAAGTCTGAAAGGACAGCTGGAACAAATTGATGAAGACATTTTATAACCAGAGAGGTTTCAGTAGGACCCTGAAACAAATCTAAAACAAACAACTTCAAATTTAGGTGCATTTCTCTGAGCACTCAAAAACTAGACAGCAAAAATACCAGAGAGCTGAGAACTGATAGGAAGTCCAGAAAGAATGGAGATGTAACAGTGAAGAAAAGGATAAAAGGTAAGAATGAGGAATTTAGCAGTGAAGGAATCCAGATAATCTTGCAGTGGTTAAGACAAAATGAATGCCACTTCCAAATGCAGTTACAGAGGAATTACTGGAACAATAAGTGGAATGTAATTACCCAGTAATTAAATGAGTACACCTCAAAATTCTGCGATAAAAATGTAACAAAGAAACTTCTTGCAAAAGTGGTATATGCTACAGTTGCCTCCATTCTCTTCTTGCATTTTCCATCCTCCTCTGGTTTAACCCTGGTTGCAAGTGCTCTGTAGCAGGGAACCTGTCTATTTTGTAAAATGCCACACATATATCATGGTGCTAAATAAACCATCTATAATAAAATGTAGTGACCAGTAGCCATGACCTCAGGTTTGCACAGGACAGCACCTTCAACCTGAGAATAACCCTGTTCCTAAATAAAACATCAGGCTTGGGCTCATACTGCTCCAGGGACAGTTCTACAGACAAGAGTGGGGACCTAAAGAATCATCAGCATCACTTTCTGCTGCACTTGTAATGCTATCAAATTAAACAGGTTTAAAATTAGAGCAGAGGACATATATGCTCTTAGAGGAAACATTCAAGTATACAGGAAACGAGCAAAAGACTTTAATCACTCTGTAGCTTGTTCTCCTACAACTCTCATGACAACAATTATTAGGATTGTTGTCTGCACAGAGGGAACAATATTCTCTCAAGTGCATTTTAACAAACTACTTCCTGTCCTTGCCTCAGCAGGACATTGGCAGTGTCTTCATCACCCTACTTTATATGCAACAGTTTAAGGTGTTCTTGTTGTTTTTGGCCACTGTGCTTGGTAGTTGTACGAGAGCTGTTTATGCACCAAGAACAGGTTAGACCAGGGGTGTCAACATCACCTGGCTCCTCAAGTTTAGATGGTGAAGACTGCCGTGAGCAGAGGGTTGGACTAGATCAGGGTCAGCAACCTATGGCCTACAGAGCCATCAGATCTGACCCATGGAGCCAGGATGGCTTCAGAGGTGATGGGATTTGCTCACCTTGTGCCACCCTATTGCCAGGCAGTGGGGAGCCTTGCTTGCGTTGTGCTGTGGCCAGGCAGCAGGCAGAAGCAGCAGACAGATCTTGGCACTGGCCACCGTTGGACCGGAGCCAAGAAATCCCAGCCCACCACCAGAAAACATTGCAAGTGCCAGACTAAAATGACTTGCCAAGGTCCCTTCCATCCCTGTTTTCCTCTGATTATGAAAAGTACTACAATTAACTGGGAGCCCAATCCCCTGGAATGTCATACAAAGAGAGTACTCTACAAGCATCTCAGTTCCACAGCACTGAAATAAAACCTGTCTTCCCAACGAAAGAACCCAGCTGTACTAATTAAAATAAAAATGAACAACAAAAAGGGTAAAATCAAATGCTTGTTTTCAGAAAAAGTAATGTACACATACATACAGCTGACTCAGCTGGACAGATTTAGCCTTTTAACTTGTATTGTCCCATATCCAGAAACAGTAACTCCTCACATTAACTTCCAGTGCCCCAAGCCAAAAAAGCAGCCAAAGAGTCCTGCTCCAGAAGTAACTTGGATAAACTATAGCAAAAATAATTCTGCTCTTACCAAGATCATAAAGAAAACATGTACCTGAACACTATATTGAACAAGCATGTTTTCAAGAGTTGTTGATCTGTATTCCTTTTTTGAAATGCTATCAGGCAACCAGACAGAGAAATCTGTTTTCACAAGGCTACATGTTTAATCTACAGCTAAATTTCAACTCACACTGGGAATATTTATCTTCTGAAGTTTATTCAAGCAAGTTACCTTGTCTAGCCCAGCTAATTCATTTCTTAGCATTCTCCTTTCTGTAGACAACTTTTTATTTTCTTTCTTCAGCTTCTGAATTTCAAATAGCAATATATCTATATTCAAATTTAAAAATTCATATTTTAATTATTACAATCATCCTCTTATGCATCCAAGTTACATTATACCTAGAGTTTCCAGCATTTGGTGTTACTTCAAGAAAATTATGGCTATTTTAAAAGGGTTTAAATGATTTGCCTTTAAATTGGCCCCATATCTTTCTAGCACCATGAGAAATCAGAACTTACCAGTCAGATTTTATATATGTAAGTTTTACACAAGTCAATTCTGAAAACTGTTTGTTACCACTTGATTCTAAAACAAAAAAGCCTACATATGCAATTGAAAGAAAGACTTTGGCAGAGGGTAGAAGGGGAGAGGGAAAGGGTCAGATGATCTACCAGATTAAATTACTAACGGGTAAGGTTTTTCTTTAGAATCAGTGTGGTCTTGGATTTTGACAAAAACCTTGAGGTCACAGTAGATTGGGTATATGTACCTCCCTATACACCTTACTTTAAAGTCAGTCTGGCTTTACTCAAAAAAAACCCCAATCATACAAAAATGGTATCACAGGATTCTGGATTTAATCTGGAAGGGGTTCTGGTATTTTTTTTATTTTTTTTTTGTTTGTTTGTTTGTTTTGTTTTGTTTTTTTTAAATACAGCTAGAATGTCTCATGTATCACCTCCAAAAAAAAAAAAAAAAAAAAAAAGGAGCATCTTAACAGCTCTCCATATATTTTCCCCAAGCTCATATCTGAACAAAATGATGGAAAAACACACACACAAAACACACCCCACCAAATGACAAGTACAGAAGAAACACTTATATTTGTCACTAAAATATAAGAGCAACCTATGTGCGTGTTGGGGCATGGGGAGGTGTCAAATAAAGAGACGGTGCCATTTTTACAAAGTCATTTCCCAAAGCTGAACTGTATTTGCAATACTAAATAATAAAACAAACAGGCAGAGGTGGTACACATGCACCAGGATGAAAACTACCACTCCTAGTGTTTTCTACAGCAGAACCAACCACATAATTATTACCTATGTATTTGCAGGAACAACCTCCCATCTTTTTGCATATGCAGCTACGAGATGTCACTTCTCTCTCTGCAGCTGTGGTCCTTTTTCCAGAAATACCGCTATCTTTTTTAGAGATCTTTTTAAATTCTAGCTGCTCAATTCTTTGTTTTTGCCCTTGAAGTTGTTGTTCTAGCTCATTAATTTTAACCTGTTAAAAAACTAGAAAATTAAGAAGCAGTGTACAAAAAGCAAATAGGTTTCAACTTAATAGTCAAACCTGAATTTTGAGTTCAAATGTAGTGATCCCAAAGTGATATAAAATAAGTTTTTTAAAGCAACAGGTTGAAGAAAAGAGAAATAATTTTAAAATGAATTTGTCTGTGCTTATAACTGGTCTGCAAGAATATGCGCTAATCAAGGATACCAAGTCATCTCTCCAAAAAAATAAAATATATATATTTTGTTGCTCCTGATCTGAACCTACTGTAAACCAGCCAACATACCCTACTCTGAAAACAATGAGTTCTGTGCTGCTGATCTATCAGAATATAGAGCTGTAAATGCCAAAATTAGGCAAGTTTTTAGTTTTCCTAGTTTACTGCATAATAACTAACATAAATTATTTGACATAAATCTGAAAGTTGTCATACTTACTGTGAGATTTCTAATTGTTTCACTTTGTTCCTGGTTTATTTTTATTTCTTTACCATAATGCTTCTGTAGATTATTATACATCTGAAGTAGTCTGAGAACAGAAGTATATGAATTGCTAGTTAAACAATTAAGTCATTAAAGAGTAGGATGGTAGTCTAACATCCTTTAAAAATAAAGGCCTGCTTACTATTGGTTACATATCAGCTTTGGACTGTAGCTGTATTTCATAGCACTAGCCCTGCATAGCAGGACCACAAATTATTAAGAATTATACAAAATGAACATACATAGTTATTTTTCTGCACGGTAACCATGAGCTGGTCAATAATTCTTCATAATCCTCATAATTGTGTGTAATAAAGTGAATAACATATCCTTTATAGAAAGTTAAAGAAACAAAACCATTTAGGTAGAAAAAAAAATGTTTAAATGCATGTACAGTAGATACTTAAACAAACTGTCTCTTACAAGTTAAAGAACACTCATTTAAATGTCATCCTACAAATGCCTAGTTAATAGGTGCACTATCTTCATGGATTAGTATCTAATCCACAGGTCTAAGACTTCTTCAGTCTTTGGAATGATGTTTTAGTTACCATAAAATGTGACCAGTTATAGAGAGAACCCTTCCTTCTCCAAAACGTACACTTGGGTAAAACTACAATGTTCCTAAGTTGTACCCAAGGCTTTTTTTTTTTTTTTTTTTTTTTTTTTAAGGTTTTCTTAAAAATAAAACTTTTATTTAGGTCAAGATACTTAATGAGGGAGGTACTTGACCAACATTTTAATAAATCAATTAAAACTTTTCAGAGATAGTTAATTACCTAAAGTTAAGAAGACAAAATGTTAAACATTAAGTGTGAGTTATGATTTTATTTTTGACCATTTGCTTATAAATCAAAATTAAATACAACACATACATGTGGTCATTTCACCTAACAAAATTAGTGTGATAAGGCAACAGAAGAATAAGTACTATACACATAGCTACTTCTGTAATGAGGATAACAATGAACTATTATTCAAAAAGGGCGAGTTAGAAACAGTTAAAAAAAAGGTTCATTTAAGTGCTGAGTAAGCGAGCCATTTATTATCAAGAGCCTTAACTATAATATACAAAACTGATCCATGCAAGTCAGGGAGCTTATGTGGAATAAACTCCCTGCAGAGGTGGTGTAGTCATGTACCCTGGAGGTTTTCAAGAGGAAACTAGACAGTCACCTCACTGGGGTCACCTAACCCCAATTGTCTTCCTGTCTAGAGTGTGGGGGGCTGGACCCAATGATCTCTGAGGTCCCTTCCAATCTATGAATCAGTGAAAGAAATGTTCTTATTTAAGAAGAATCTCTTGGATATTAATAAACCTTGAAATCTTTTATCACTTAGGCAAAGCATTGGTAGTTTTTCAGATTATTGACAATGACTGTTCCACAAAATGTGAACACTTGAGTCTGATTTGACCGAAAATCACTACAAGGCTCCCATTCTGAAAATGACAGCTGATAAACTATCATATTCATGAAACGTACTGATGAATTTAATAACCTGACTATAGTGTACAAGCAAAGCAGTCTATATACACAATGGATGTGCATCTACACTGCAGAATGCAGTATGGTATAAAGAGACCTCAGCTAGCTCAAATGCAGGAAGCAGTCTAGTCACAACACAGATCTCCATGCAAATTAATCTACTCTGCTTCTCCCTGTGTTGCAATAGATAGACTGCTTCCAGCATCCGAGTTAGCTTTTAGCAAGCTAATTCAGATATCTTTATACTACAGTGAGCAGCACAGACATACCAGTATAAGATAGGAAGACCCCTTAAATATACTGAGTACAGCAAAAGCTACTTATGAGAGTCTGCAACCTCTATAATTCACAAGTGTCAATGAAATGACTAGCTTAACACAGGACTCCACTATCTTGGCAGCTGCATAGCACATATAGGCTAGCTTTCCACCCCCCCTCCAGTGAAGAGAACGGCTTCCCACTTAAAACATCCACCCCAATTTTGGAGAGCTGATTTTGGGGGGGAAAAGGTGCATGTTGCATGTGACAAAATACAGTATATCCTACCTAAAAGAGGTAAATCACAACCCCTCCACCTTAAAGTAAGCTAGTCCTAGCAAGAAGGAACACACTCCACTAACTCTGAGAGAGATTTACCAAAATAACTTACCTAGCACTTTCCCCTTTCCATCCAAGTTCCTTTTTGGGAATGCCACTCATCGTGTGCCATAAGTAGGCTTCTGTTTGAACCTGAACACTTAATTGAAATAAATGCTACAGCTTAATGTAAACCAATGTAATGTAAACAGCTTTCAGAACAGTAAAGAAATGTGTCAGAATGGCGGCAGATAAATAAAGTAACTTTTCTATATTTTTCATTCAGCATTGAAAGTCTTGCTACAGGTTCTGTACAAAGATGTGTGGAAAGCTGTCTGGGTCCTTTTCAAAATAAAGAGAAGGGAAAAAAAGTCTCTTCTGAAGTCTAAATTTCAAAACATTTTAAGTAGCACTAATGCTTTCAAATATGCCACATTTCATTCTCTTATACAGTATTTATCATCATCAAGAAACTCTAAAGCATTTTAGACCAAGTCAAACCCTGGGTAGAACACCAACTAAGTAAGCAAAAGCACAAGTCGCCAGCATATAGACCTGTTTTGCTTGAAATACAACTTTGGTCCAGTGCAAAGGGTTAGTTTTAAACACAGGTCTGAAGACCTTTATCCTAAGGAAAAGTACTGCATGGCACTGTCACCCCTACTACAAGCAGTCTCAATTTGAGATTTGAACCCATTACTTTCTGTTTTAAGCTAATCAGTCTTACTCTCTGCTTGTGACATAGTCATGCATTAACTGCTGCAGATGTAATTTCTCCTGAATCTGAGCCAAATCACTTTCTAGCTGTTTATTTTTCCTGTGCAGCCTTTTCAGCTTCTTAAGTAGTAGTTCATTTTCATCACTGAGCTGGAAAGTAAGAAAGAGATACTTCATCAAATAGAATGTTTAAGATACTGCATTAGCATGGACTGGCTGACTAACATTTCTCTTCATAAACATTAATACACTTATCTCTGGTTAGTCACATATATAAAGCAAGACACCTGGAAAAGCTGTTGGTTTCATAATGTTTGTGTAAACCTAAACACAAATGCCTTGAGATACATACCAAAAGGTATTCTCTTCTGTACA